TAGGTAAAATAAAAAAATAATTAAAAATATAAAAAAATAAATTAAAAAATATATTTATAATACAAATAAAATATTATTTAAAATAATAAATTGCTCCCCAAACAAACACGGTAGCTGCAGCCGGGATTCTTGGTTTGAAAGTGTGGTGTCTGATGACTAAAAGGTGGGCTGTGGTTTCTAAATATTTCTAGAACATAGGTGGTACTACTTGCATAAGAGGGCTATTCCTCAATCACGATTGCCACTTTCTTGCTTCTTGGTCTTTGTACCCATTGATCGAACTTTTGTTGCTTTTATAATTATACTGCTCCTATCTTGGTAAAGTAGGGGTCCCGTACACGTCTCTGGAAAAGAAAACTCAAAAAACGCTCGCAGTCCATCCCATATTTGTCTCTGTCCTCCTCCTTTCCCCTTCCAACGACCGACTTTCCGAGTAGTTATGGTCGTGTTGTCCTTTAGGCGGATTGGCAACACAGCTTCTGAAGAGCGATCAAACCTCCCCCCAAACTAATGGATTCTAATTTTACTTTCATGCCTTCAAACGACGATCGCCTTCATTCTCGCGTCTTCCTCTCTGGATTTTACTGCTGGGGTTGGGAATTCCTCACTGCCCTCCTTCTCTTTAGTCGTTCTTCCATCTGAGTTCAACTTGCCCCGTTTTTCTTTTAACCCAGACAACCTCTGACTTGACCATCATCAGTTTCTTTTAAGCCTAAACTAGAGTATTTTACACTAGCAGTTCTTTTTCCGAGTATTTTGTTGTCCTATATAGTATCTCTTTTCCCTTTTGGACTCGTGTTGTTTTCGGCGAGGCGTAGAGAAAAAAGAAAGAGATGTGTCAAAGGACAGTTCCGGCGCCGTTCTTGACCAAGACGTATCAGTTGGTGGATGATCCCTGCTCGGACGATGTAATATCGTGGAACGAAAGCGGTACAACGTTCGTGGTCTGGAAAACCGCGGAGTTTGCTAAGGATTTGCTGCCTAATTACTTCAAGCACAACAACTTTTCCAGCTTCGTTCGTCAGCTCAACACCTATGTAAGTTCATTCATCTCTGTAGATTACTTTGCTTGCTTATTTTTGAGCGATTAAACTTTAGCCGAGCCATATATGCTCTCCTTTAATCATTTCGCAATCTTTTGCCAAAATTATGAAAAAGAATGGACTAGCTGTTATTATCAAAAGAATTGGAGTGTGATCACATAAAACCCGAGAGAGAGAGAGATAGATACTTGGAACAACGCACTTTCGGAGTAGTAGAGAATTGTTTGAAGAAAAAAAAAAAAGAAAAAATCGCTGGGAATGATGATGCAGTACTACTGTTTGAAGAACAATTTTACCAACCCCCGCCGGGGGAGGGCCGAGGGGAAGGTTCTCCTTTCCAACTCTCTATCTTATCTTTTATTATGTTATTATTTTTTCTTTATAAACATCATATTTTATTTTTTTATTTTCTTAATTTAATATTTAAAATCTAATAATTATTAACTGAATAATACATAAAATTTAATAAACTTGAAAATTCAAAATATCTAAAAGGTTAATTATCTTTTTAAGGCTATTTTATTTTTTTATATTAGTCAATAGTTATTAAATTTTAAAAAAATAAAAAAAATTTAAATACAATGTTTACGAAGTAAAGATAATAATAATGTTATATTAGAAATAGGGATAGAAAGAGGGAATGACAGAGGATCCGTTCTGCATTTTACCGCTTGCTAGCCAGTAGAGAATCTTTTGTAGGTGGCAGGGTTAGTCCTCAAACTCTAAGAGAGTATATGCTTTGGGTAAAACGATTAGTTTATACGTATAAGTACGGGTGTGCACACAAAAGTGGTTGGGTCTATTTAACTATGCACACAATCAAAATAATCTTTGGTAAGCCTTCGACGAAACTTCAATCATTCAATCGTCATCGCCCTTTGCTCAAAAAAAAAAAAAAAAAAAAAAAGGACCACAATGGATCAACGTAGTATTATGTAAACTATAATTGGTATCTTATATAGTACTGCTGTTATGGTACTTGTGTCTAAATGAGATATTTGTGCATGAATCTCGCACCTTCTAAATATTTGTTATTGTCCTTCGAAACATTTTCAAAAAAAGATGGGTGAAAATGAAAGAAAACTTTAATTCCGAGACCATTTATTTTATCAACTACCCCGTTGAAAATTGTGGGAACCGATAGGACTGTTTTACCACGGCGCTTTGTCTTAATCAACCTGTATTAGGTGGTAATTAGACTTGAAAGGGTTCTCTCTTCTTTTTTGGGTGCGAAGCAAGCCACGATGAAGTTGGAAAAAAAAAAAAAAAAAAGGAAAGAAACGAGGAAGGGGGGGGGGGGGGAAATGGAGCAGCAGCTTTGATTGATATTGGACCTGCTGGTTTAGCTGGCGGGTCCATTTTGGTGTCGAAAAGCTACCAGCCAAATTACCAATCTATTGCGTGCAACAGAGTTTGAACAGTTGAGAAGCTGGGCCCTACCACTAAAAGAGAAATGTCCGTTTCTATAGGGAGAAACTTCCTGAACCAGCTCAAGTGGTACTGGTGGGCCGCGCAATTTGACATCGCGTGCCACGATCTGGGTCTGCATCACGTTTTTTTGAAATGAACCTGTCCTAGCCGTACCTGAAGTTTGTTCTTTTACCTTTTTTAAAAGTATTTTTTTTCCAGTTTGACGGCGGAGAAAAATAAAATTTATTTTCCGGTAACTGACCTGCGTGCTTATGGAGAATTTGGCGCGTATTTAGGAGGAGAAAATGTTTGGCGCCGGTCAATTTTGTTCTTGCTATTAATTATTAGGTCTAAAAAGTCGTAGCTTTCTGTTGGGAAGGCTGGTCTTATCGTCTCCTGAAGCTGCAATGCCTACTTTTATTTGGTCAATCATCTTTCATAAATAAATTTTGTTCTTGCTATTAATTATTTAGCTGCAATGCCTACTCTCTGATTTTTTTAAAAATAAATTTTCTAACCACCAGAGATGTAAAATGCGATATAGTAATTTGATATACATGAGTTTAAAAAAAAAAGTAAAATTTTTTAATGAAAAAATCACAATCCAAACAAGTAATAATTGTTCGAGGGTGAAGTAGCTTAGGATTTGATTTGGAAATTGTCTTAGCTTTGATATTTGTCCTTTTTTATTTGCTGCAATTCCGAGATTTAATTGATGTTTGATTTATTAGTATATGATACGGCATGCTAGAAAGTGAATTTTCATCTGTGGTGCTACTACACTACATCAGCTGTCATCAGTTTTATTTTTTACTTTTTGTTTTTATGAAAATAATCGACTGTAGAAAACAGAAGGGGGGTAAAAACGAAGAAGAGGAACAGAAGATTAATTTTGAATACGTTTAAGTTTGTGCAATTCACATTCCCATCCTTTGTCCTCTAGGGCTTCCGAAAAATTGTCCCCGATAAATGGGAATTTGCCAACGACAATTTCAAGCGAGGACGGAAGGAGCTCCTAACTGATATCCGTCGACGGAAAACCACGACGTCAACACAGTCCACAAACCAAGCTGGGGCCGGCAAGTCCTTAACCACCGCCAATCCCACCTCACCAGCAAATTCCGGCGAGGACTTGGGCTCAAGCTCAACCTCATTCCCCGGCTCGAAGAGCCCGGGGTCGGTGGACACCTTATCTGCAGAGCAATTTGCGGACTTGTCCGATGAGAATGAAAAACTGAAGAAAGATAATCAGATGCTGAGTTCAGAGCTTGCACAGACCAAGAAACAATGCGACGACCTCGTTGCATTCTTGACCAAGCATGTAAATGTTGCACCTGATCAAATCAACAGCATCATGAACCAGGGAGCAGCGGTGGGTGAGATGAATTTTAATGAGAACAATTGTGTTGTTGATGATCGTGTTGACAGCAAAGAAGCCGATGATGATGATGATGACGAAAATGGGAACGGAGGGAGCTTGAAGTTGTTCGGTGTGACCTTGTTAACAGAGAAGAACAGAAAGAGGGGTCGGGATGACATGGATGTTGGTTATGCTGAGGTTCGTCCTAGGAAAGACGTCAAGACACTCGACTTTTGTGCAGCTTGGATGAGAATAGCTTCATGCGCTGGTGAAACCAGCAAGGTTTGTAACTGAAATTAAGGTCGAAGTAATCGAGGCTAGTGGTACTAGAATAACGACCTGGTACAGAGGGGGTAGTATTTTGGAGCTGGAGTAGCGGCAGTGCTATTATTATGCTCAAGAAGGCCTTTTGCAACTATAAGGTTGGATTGTGAGGTCAGAATAATGGAGATTTTTCAATCTTTTATTTATTATTATTTTTTTAAAAAAAGATTCAGTTAGTTGTAACTCAAGGGAGTTGGAAAATTGAAGGCAATGTGGATATCCAGCTCTGATTAATGTCTAGGGTTTAATACCTAAATGTATGTGAACTGTAAAAAATTGTCGCAGTTTGCAGCTTAGCTATAATACAAATCACTTTTAAGATAAAAGTCTGGTCTATCTTTGCTATGGTGGTCTTTTCAATGTGGGGAGAGGATGGATTGTAGTAGTACTTTCTCGATGATAGGCAGTAAAAAAGTATGCACAAATGAGGAGAATCTCGAGCCTGGGTCGCTCTGGAGTTCCTTTCCCCAGCAATCAACTGACACACCGTGAGGACGGAAGTCATGCTGCCATACTCTGGTAGTGATCACGAATATTAACGGTTCTAAGTGTGTTTGGATAGCTAGTAATTATGTGAACAAAAAATTATTTACTTGCATTATAAACAAATCTTTCAATTTATATTTTTATGTTTTCAACAAAAATTTCACCTTTTTTTGGGCTGATTTGCACGGAAAGCTAAGAAGGCCTAGTAAATTTTTCTAAATTGTCAATTCTGTCCTTAAATCACAATTGGACAAAATTTTTTTTTTTTTTCGGGGAAAGGTTTACACAAAATGCCAACAAAAGGCCCAAGCCTATGCTCTTTTTTTTTTTGGGTAGGCTGGCGGGAGGAGGGACGAGTTAGTAACCCTCCCCTCCTATGCTCTATAAACCAACAAAAACTTTAAAAACTCATCACCTGGCCCAAGCCCAAGTGACCTACGACGCCGTTGCCGCGCTGAAACAAAAGGCCGCAGGGCAGAAGGCGAGGCAAAATTGCGGAGATTCTTCCTCGTCACCGGTCAGCATCTCTGGACAGCGGAAGATGGATTCAACCGAAACTCCCTTATCCACCTCCCCATCCCATTCCAATTTCAGGTACTTCAACGTTATTGTTTCTTATTTCCATTTTTGTCTTTCAAAGCATGCTAAATTAAAAAGCGGTATAAATTTTTTTGTTTTTATGCTACCGCAGCCAACAGCGCCATTTCTATCTTGCCGTGGATAGGCTCCAATTCAAGATGGTTCCACACAATTCTGTCTACTTATTTCTACCAAAACTATCAATTTAAGTTTACAAAAATAAATACACTATTGAGGTTTTATTTTTTGTGTATGCGCGCGCGCGCGCGTATGCGTATAAAACAAGCAGGAAACCTTGGTGGATCTATTAGGCATGGCCGGACGGCAACCGTGTCTACGCATGGTGGTCTGCTGCAGCACTCGTGACGAGCTCGACGCCGTCTGCTCCGCCGTCTCCCGCCTCTCCTACATTTCTATTGCAACTCTGGTATTATATCATTATGCATCTTTTTACTTGTTAGCAGGATTTCAGAATCTTCAGTTGTTTATTTCCTTGTTTTGGGGAGATGAAGTGGTGTGAAGTTTTACCTTGAGCTTATGATGCAGTATAGTGACCAGGCGGAAGCTGAACGACCGCGGATTTTGGAGAAGTTCAGGCAAACGGCAATTAATTGGAACAATTGCACTGCCGATGGCGAAGAAAAGAAAGATGACAAAGAAGAGCGGAACAAGTCTCATATGATTATTGTTACTGATGCTTGCCTGCCGTTGCTTGGCATGGGGGAGTCGCCTATCAGCTCTCGAGTTTTGATTAATTATGAGCTGCCAACTAAAAAGGTCAATGCCATTTCCTAAACATATGTTTTATTTTATGATATATATTGAACCTAGTATGCTTGGCAATAACCAAGGAACTGTTGCTTGCCTCTGAACTTTATTCAGCTTACAGTTTCTAACTTGTAATCCACTCCTCTTAAATTATCTGTTTGCTGTAATCTAGTGGATAAACAGGCTTTCTAGAGTAAGTTGGAGAGTTGTCAGACTTAACCTTTGAATACCACAGGATAAAAAGGCATTTTGTTCAGTTAGGAAAGGCGGCAGGAAATTATGCTTAATTATGTTGTAGGGTTGAATTTGTAGTAGTGACATTTGATGATTTATGTGTTTCTATGTCCAAGTTTGTTTGGTCAGTCATCGTACAAGCAAAAGAAGTTATGCCCACGGAAAGATGTAGCAATTAGAATTGAAGGCACCGCAGCCCCTCCCACTAGTTGGATGTCATGTGCAAATTCAGGATTTAAATCTCAGTTTTACCTGTATCTGGACTCTACTTATTTGGTTAACAAGTTTCAACTATTTGCTTGGTATACTTCCAGTCTATTCCCTTTTAACTATTTGTCAGGATTACTCTTGAATTTCGACGAATTTTCCCACTTCATCTCTATACTAGTGCATCTATGACTTCCAATATGCATCACCTATGGGATTAACTTTACTGCTTGATGTTTACATGTAAACGTAGGTGTCTCCTTGGGATACTAATCAATTATGGTGTCTCTTTTTAGATGTTCCAAGTTTGTGTACTTCTGAAGTTTTAACATGTTTTATGGTGTTTGGCTTTTGTATTTTGGTATAACTGAGACATTCTTCATATGCCGATTGATCAAGGAAAGTTTTATGCTATTTAGCTACTGCAATTTGTTGCAGTTTAGGCATTCTGTATAAGCCAAGGCCACAAGGTAAATAAGAGGTGATTGAGACATTCTTTAAATGTATTAACACAAAAAGTGTCTACTATATTTCACTTGAATGATTGAGATTATTTTCAGACAAAAGCAAAGCTACAAGAGTATTTCGCAGAATTAAATTTTACCTTGTTCCTCAACAACTGCATTTTACCTTGTTCCTCAACAACTGCGTGAACATTTTTTTGCTTGGGAATTACTTTCTTCCCCTATTCAGAATTTTGCTTCTATATTTTCACTTTGTTTGTCATGTTTCCATCTCAGTTGGAATTGTTTGGCTTCCGGAATATATATGCTCATACATGTATTTGTCCATGTCATTTTACTTCTATGTTGTTGCCGCCATAGCCATTTTATTTCTTACTATGGAAGGTAACTTTTTTTTTTTCAATTCAGGAAACTTATTTGAGGCGTATGGCAACTTGTTTAGCCACAGGTTAACACCCCTACCAACCACATTTTCCCCGTTTTGTGAGTACATCATGTATGGAAAGGAGAACGGGGTGCATTTAGTTGATCCAGTTCTTGCTTTCACAAATTAAATAAATTGCAAGCATGTTTTTGGCATCATGAAGAGAAAGGAAGGGAGGAAAAAATGAAAGCAAAGTTAAGAATGCCAAAGAAGGAACCAGCTTATTGCTTCCCTTTTTTCCTCATCTCTGTGCATGAATTAAACAACCATATGGAGCAAAAGTTTGTCCTGCTGTTGTTTAATGTTGTTCATATTAGTATGTTGAGTTTTGACATTTTCTCTTAGTAAATATATGCAGATGGGATTGTCATTAATATGGTGGTTGGTGGTGAAGTTGCAACTCTCAAAAGCATTGAAGAGAGCAGTGGTCTTGTCATAGCTGAGATGCCCATACATGTGAGTTTCTGACCTGTTCTATGATGCTCAGATATGTTATTGGAGATTGGATTGATTATACATTTCATCCTACATGTAATGAAATATACTACACTACAAAAACCATATTGTTTTCATGGGTAATTGATTCTTGATTTTTTATTATCCTTTTCATTGCTGTCACCACTGTTTCTCAACTTCTTCAATATTAGAATTATTTGTGGTTTGAACAGATCTTTGAGATGATGTAAAGTTAGTGGGCTTGTGGAATGTCAAAAGCTGTAAACGTGGGTCATGCCATTGCAAATGAGGTATGTAATGTAATTAACAATATCTATTTGTTCTTCGAGAAACATGTCATTTTCTGTTGCTAAAATCCATAATTTCTGCATCAAGAATAGCCCATGTTTGAGCTTCGTGAAAACATCACCCATCTTGGAATGCCAAAGACTATAGTAGGACTTCAGACTTATGCTCTTCAAATGGATCAATGTGGCCTATAATTTCTGTTACTTTGTTGTGAAGAATGTGGATGGTTAAACTTTTTTGCCAGTTTTGCCTCCCATGTTAGGGAGGAAAAAATGGGAGGCATAGATTTTGCAATTTTGTACCATTGGTTTGAATCAGGGTTGTTCATCGAATGCTTAATTCATTTCACTTCTTGAGGGGAGCAATTTTAGTGTAGCTCATAGTTTTGTACTCTTGAAATGAATCTGAGATAATTGTAATGGGATGGACCAAAAAGGTTGTACACAAACTTTTGCTTTTAACTGTATAAGAGATCATAGAGTTAATATCCATAACCTTTAATAGGAGGATTTTGAATTGACAAAGAGATGTTTACGGAAGTAAGAATCCAAGTTATGAATAAGGTGAAGGGATGTTTGTGAGTATTTCTGTTTCAGTACTGTTTTTCCACTTATACTCACAGAATTTTGGAACCTTATTTCTATTTAAAATTCTTGCTTGCACATCCAGCATCAATAGTTCAGTGATGCTTCACAAGTGTGGATGCAAGTTGTATGTAATGAATATAACTCTGTGCTTCTATGTGTTAAATTAATAGTTGATTCTTGATTAACCAGATCAGCTACCATTATTCGTACAGATAATTTTCTCAGGTCAGTCATGTTGGCTGGCGATAAATAGCTATGGCATAGGCTTTGCAATGGGTATGGATTATTCTTCTTACTGGAGTTAATTATGGTAAACCGTTAAGGTGAAATGGCATTGTAATGCAACTGATCCTTTGGCAACAAAAGATAAATTACCAAACATGTTCTTATTGGCCAAGAAAATGACTTGAAACATGGAAGTGATCATTGAAAACATTATCGTTTTTAGACATGTTAGGCTCCACATTCTTTTGCTGTCATGATACAGAATGAAGTTGGTTGGGACCATGTTCTTTACTCAGAATGCAGATTACTTGCACAATCCTCTAATAAACATCAGTAATTGGCCCACTTTAGGCTGAACTCAATTATAGTTCCATGTTCTGGAGCTGGATTTATGGGTCGGGCATGGTCCCTTCTTTGGGCTGTAGGTTTCCTTTGTGTTCTCTTTCTCAGGGCATAAAGGTGTTTGGTAGCATCAGATATATGCATTTACTCGTATCCATAAAAAGTTTCCGTCCTTTTTTGTTTGCTATATTGAAGTGGAATTTTTGACATAAAGGTTAAAGAAATGCTTCTTTCAAGTTTCTGTCTTAGGAAGATGATAGGTGATTAAAGATGAGATCTTCTAAACCTTCCTTCTTCTTCTTCTTCCTTTTTTTTTTTTTAGGAGAACTGAATCCTATAAGAGGACAAGTTTATCTTCCATTGTCCTACAATGAATTATACCATTGTGGTGGCCTGTACTGGACAAATTCTAGCGATAAGAGGATTCCATCCTGGACTGGAAAAAGCAATGGAATCTCAAGATTTGACATTAGTAGTAAAGTGGATTGTTCTAGTCAAGTATTTTGCTTTTTGCCTCACCAGTTATCTTGGAGGTATATCATTACAATGAATGCTAAATTGAAATTAACAGTAACCGATAGACTGAAGTTAGGCAGAACTGGTTATATTTAGTCATTGAATATTAAGCTGATAGTAGTCACTCATGGTGTAAATCACCATTAGAAGCTGCCTGATCAATTTGAGCGAGCACATGGCACAAGTATTTGATATTGCCGCAATCACTTCCGGATGAGCTATTTATTTTTGCAAATATTTTATGTGCTAGGCGGTTTTTCCAGCTGGTTGACTTTTTCTTTCTGAAATTGTCTGATCCATAATGGTGCCAAATATGTACTTGCTATGTTTAGCTACAACACATTTGAGCTGAAGAAGATCTTTGCTGCTGTCAGAGCAAAAAAATAATTAGGTGAAAGCTTGCCCATGTTGGTGCCTATTTAGTATGTTGATGTTAGATTTTCCTTTTCTCTTAGATAGAACTAGGGTGCGGGAAGATTCGAATATTTGGAACCTATGGTCTGTGGTATCCTTATCAACTCATTAGATGGCTGGATATCATCCTTAAAAATTCACCATACCATGATTGATCCCAGCAGTTTCTCTCTGTCTTGAATTAGAAGTAAAGTTGAAGTCGGTAGAGAACTAAAGCTTCTGGAGATTGGCAGCGGGGGCTTTTCTTCATAACACTCGTATAAAAGATCAATAATACCCCATGGTATTGGATGATTGGAACCTTCCAGCCACAAGCCTTTTACTTTGTTGTGTTGATATATCCATCTTCCCATAGCATCAGCATTCAGCCCATGGTCCCAGCTCTCGCGACATGAATTGAATGTTGCAATCAATTTAGGCACCAAATCAGTTCTTAGTTTCCATGATGAGAACAGTAAAGCTGACGTGAAAATTTTGCGTTATTGCTCGGCTATTTCCAGAAATAAGCTTCTCTCCCTCTTCGAGATGGAGCAGTAGATACTCTTAGATGAACATCGCGTCAAACGGATGGGAAGAAAGGAGGCGGAAAGAGCGTAGACGAGAAATGGTCCCTGCCTTCTAGGATAGTAGGTGACTCGTATTCCATGATTCTCCTCGAAAGAATGTCCAAAGGACTTTGCAAATGTTATTGTCGTATTTTAGGGAATGCCATTCTGGAGGATGATACATCACTTTTCAAGGACCTGGCTGACCTACTTTGGGGTGTCGGGAGTGAGACTGGACCCTGGACGTCTATTGGTGCGGAGAGAGTAGTGTGGTGGAAGACAGAAGATGTACCCTTTAATATCTGGATTTGTGACAACAAAGGAGGTTTGACATCAATCCAATATTTTAGAATCGTACGTAAATAATCTATATCTATATAAATTTGAGAAGGGATTTTTAGCAACAAGCCTCCACATATTTTCCCACTACCAATTCTATTTGTCTAGCATTTCACTTTTAATTTAATTTATAAAATATATTTCTCTTAACTTCCACATCTACTCCTCACATTTGAAATTGTTGGTTACTTTTTAAAATTATTTTATTTGAAACTGTTGGTTAACGTGCATGATATCATATTGGAATTTCAACCTATCACGTCTTCAATTGCCTTGTGTTATTAATGATTATACTTCAATTAAAACTTCCATAAGACTATAACAAGAGATAACAAATATAACACCCTTTCATGCTTTCTTTTTAATTTAAATAAGTAAAATTATTTACACTCCATTTTGTTATTCACACTTCAATAATCATTTTGATCATATAGTTTTCATTAATTAGATTATATGATAAAATAAATGGTGGAATTGCAAATAATAAAAATTTGAGTGCAAATAACATTTTTCTAAGTAAGAAGTGGCTTCCACGCCTTTCTAATTTAAATAAGTAAGAAGTGGCTCCACTTATATAGGAAGTTGGTTTGAAGTTTATTAGTGGAGGGTAAATAAAGAGAAAACATTGCCAAACTTAGTAAAAGTAAAAAAGAAATGATAATACTTTATCTTTTAACTTATTAATGCTAAGTAAAAGAGCAAAATTAAATAGAAAACAAAAAAGAAGGATTTAAAAAATCAAGAATGGTACCATTCATGAAATCACTAAATAAAAAACAAAGTAGTGCTGGCCTTTTAACTTGGAAATTTTTTTTAAATATTCATTTTTGATAAAAATAATGATAATAACAACACCAATTCTACCAAAAAATTTTAAAAAGTAACATTATAGATAAAGAGAAAAATATAGAACATTCGACTCTAAAATACTACTTAATTTGTTTATATTTGGCCCAAATTTGACCCTGATTAGATTTGAATAAGAGTGCAAAACCTAAACACTAAGGATAACTTTTGGTATCATTAATTATTTTATGTATTCTTGTTGTTGTCTTCATATGTAAATATGTATTTTCTATATTAAATATATATACATATACATATTGATTGTAGTACTTGAGGATATTATAGATATTATCAGTTTTCATTTTCATTTTCATTTTTAGATATTAATAATTGCAACCATTGAAATCAATTTTTAAATTTATATTTTCATTATGATAGATAAAGTTAAATATATTGGATCGCAGGGATATGAATTTAGAGATTGGGTATGTGGGGAGAAGGGAGGGAAAAAAATGGTGAAGAGTTGAAAAGTGGCGAGAAAGGTTGAAGAAAAAATGTGGGTTACAAGGATGGGCGGAAAAAGGAGAGAAGAAAAAAGGGGATTGTCGAGATATGACCAAAAAAAAAAAAAAAAACAACAGAAAGAGTGGTACCATGATAGAAAATACGAAAGTCAAGGAGGCATCTCATGACTAGCCGGCGGATAAGAGAAGAGGGAAATGATGGTGATTTTTAATAATTTTGAGAACTCTAAAAACATATATTACAGAGATTTCTTTTAATATACGTTAAAATTTATGAAAAATGCTAATCTAAATACAGTCAACAATCTTAGCGGTACAAGATAGGAGAAAGATTTTTTTTTTCTAAAAATGGAAGAAAATAAATTGGTTATAATTTTTTTATATTATAAGTTTTGATATATGGATATAACATAAGATGTTTTGTCAGGTACTGCTAAATTGATTTTTTTTTAAAGAAAACTCTTTATACCTTACCACCCAACCTAACCATCTCCTTAAATGTGTTAACAATTCATCTATCATGTAAATCATTATAAATTAAAATTTTTTCAATATGTCAAGCATACACTTCTTTAAAATTTTTAGTCTATATATATATATTATTCTGTACCATAATATATAAAGATATACAATATTATTTTGATTTGAAATATAATCCCGTGCTATGCACGGGTCAAAATACTAGTTGAGTATGAATGAGAAAAGTGAAAAGAGGTTGGTTTTACAATGGTAACGAGGACTTAATGTATTTGTTGTCACTTTTTTTTTTTTAAAGGTATTTGTTTTCACTTGTATATTTTGTGCCAATGTTAAAGCTTAACGTGTAATTAATAATTTTAGAGTATAATTTAATTGCAATATTGCACTGCTGGCATAAAATATATCAAAACACCAACACGCATATATAGATTTGAAAATTAATTGTGACAATAGATTTGAAAAATTAACAAACATAAGGATAAAATTGAAGCTTCAAAACTATCTTCTACTTGGATGAATCACTGAAACCCAATGCATCTGGGGGTCCTTCTAACATAAAATTTGCTACAAAGAGAAATTTAAATATGCCATAATATATGTGAGAAATTCTAGATCTAAAAAAAATCAGATTTATGAAAATTTTCAAATCTTACAAGAGAATAATAAAAACTGAATCTCACAAGGAAATTGTAAGAAAGAATATTTAACTGAAAAGAATTGATGGATGGATCGAGTAATTGGGTACAATCAATTAAATTTCAACTAACTAAGCAAATATTACCGTGCAATCTCTCTCGTCAAATCAAATTTGTAATCTTTTCTCTCTATTTTAACAAGCTTACTTCTAAGTTTTGAATCATTGTACGGCTTGTTGTATTTTGGTACCCTAAAAGTAGAGGATAGGAATTGCCAATGGGATAAACTCGCAATAACATCCTAACATAATGCAAATTTAAGCTCTTGCGGTCAATATAATATTGGACAAACCCTTTATCCGTATTTTATTTCTTTATAAATATTGGTTATCTTGCCCATCAATTTGTCTTAACGATTATAATTGGTTAGCAAAAAATTCAAACAACGGCAAGAAATTGTTGAAATAAGAAAAATTAGTTTTCATATTTTCAAGAGAACTTGTACTTGACAGTGGCATCAAATTTTGCACGATAGGTGTATTTTAGCCATTAAAAAGAGAAGTTAGAGGAGAGAGAGAATCTTTTGTCGTAAATATTTGGATAAAGTTTTTATGTATATCTTTTGTGGCGAAAACAAGTGATGCAGGAAACTTTGCTAGGCTGCCAGTTAATTCTGAATTCAGGTTTCTTGAGTGCGTTTAGGGTGAATCTATTTCTCACTTGTTTTGGCGTCCATCCCAGTGCACGGATTTAGGTCTCCTGTCTGGATGAACTGATGCAACTTTAAAGCTCAAACCTTTCCGTTACGTTTGTCGCCTGGGGCCTTTGTTATTAATTTTTTTTTGTTGGAGGAAATGCTAGGGCCTTTATCGACACAAAGCTGACAAGCAAATACTTTTCACGCTGCTTGGTTATCTATTTTGCCTTAATTTCTTGTTTTGTCAATAATCGACGTAAAAATGGTACAGAAAAAAGAAATAAGAGAAAACCTATAAACGTTATTATGTTGTAGTCTTGTTGAATTTTGAGATGTGACACCATTCCCATTTATCCAAACTTTTTGTCTCCATTTGGGGAAGTGTTTTAGGGAGGTTTTTTTAGATAAATTTTACCGTAGCAATGTTATTGGAAGAATTATGAAACAGAAAATGTTATACGTTTTAGCCCCCCCTCCCCCTGCCCTTAAAAACGGTTGTTTTTTTTTTTCTTAGGAAAAAAACAATCCAAACAAACGTAGAAAAGAATATATTGATAATAATAATCGTTCAAACCTTGCTAATTTTATCCTCCAGACTCAAACTTTGTACATCATGGTACATTTCGTTCACAAAAAGTAAGGAATGAGAGTGGAAAAAGAGTAAACATACAATATCTGAGTACGACAGGGTTGCTATTTAGTTCATCACCGCTAGAGTTGGCAAAAAAATCTAAAATCGCCCAACCCGCCCATTAATTTTAAATGATGGGTTGGGTCAGTTGAGTTATGGGTTTTCTTAAATTGGGTAAGAGCAATCCAACTTATTCATTGCGCGTGTTGAATTTTTTATTTGGACACCCAATACCCAACTTGTTTAAAAGTAATTCAAAATAATAAATACAATATTCAATGCACATATATCCAACCACTTGCATTTGGACATGTGTTAAAATTCATTGACTAATTTGTATTTAAAATTCTCATATATATATATATATATGTTTTCAATCAATTTTTTAAATTTTTATTTAAAAGAACAAAGAAACTTGAAATAAAAACTCATGCTTATTTTACTTTTACAACAGTAGTTAAATTTGCTCGACTTCTATAATAATTTATTATGCCTTTTAAGAGTGTGTTGTTTTCCTCCCCTTTTTTTTTTTTTTTTTGTGGTTGTTCTCAAGTTGCTACTTGCTTTTGTTTGTTAATATTTCATGCACGTAGAATAGGGTTTTAAATTTATTCTAATTGCATTCTTTTACTTTTTGCTAACTTGTTTTATTTCATTGTTAACAATTCCTCATCAATATTATAATACTACTTACATTTTCAAGCATAATATAATCTAGCATTCAATAATTTAAATACACAGAACATTACAACTTACAATAATGCAGATATGAATAGTAAAAGTGTTAATAAGTTGTGACAAGAATAAGTTTCAATCAGTTAGTAGTATTTAAAAGTATAAAGTAAACAATTTTTTTAGCTAATTTATTTAAATGTACAATTTATTATCTAAAATTCACAATACAAGCAATATAAAATATTATTCTATTTATGATGTGTTTCCAAGGGATTTAAAAAGTGAGTGTGTGTTTATGTGTGTGAAAATACATTTATGTATGTGAAAATGTGTTTATATGTGTGAAAAAAATCCTTTTGTGTGTTAAAATGTATGTGAAAAAGTTTATGTATCAAAATGCATTAATTAATATGTTGGGTCATATTTAGATTATGGATTTGAAATAACCCAATATGACCCGATCCAAAATCAACCAAATCCAAAGTTGGACGAGTTGAATATAATCTATTTAGATGAAAACTCAATATCAATCCATCCAAGATCCGTTGAACCAGCCCAATTGCCAGGTATAATCATCCAATCGCCAGGTATAATCACCACGTCCATCAGTTGGGTACCAAGGATGTATCTGTGTTGTAGTCAACAATTATTGCAAATCCTACCAACGTTAGGTGCGGCCCCCCACCGCGCCGGGGGGGGTGTATGTGTGTGCGTGTGTGGAGAAGACACTTTCTTTGTGGATCTGTCTGATGGAAGCGCATGGCACGTCCAATGCGGGGTGCTACTTCATCTAAATCCGGCTCCTCAGATGAACTTGTGTCGTGAACACTAGAAAGACTGGCAAAAGACAATTACTATTTGGACTTTGCTTGACTCATTTTTTTCTTCTAAGAAAAATTTAGCAGCGGAAAAGAAAAAAGAAAAAAAGAGAACATAAGAAAAGAAGAAAGAAAAGGAGAAGATGAAAACAAAGTAAGAAGCTGTTGTTAATGATGATGATGACACACAAAATCTTGCAAGGAGGTGATGACAGCTTTACAAGTATTGGTAGTTGCATGCATGGCCACGGACTAACCAGGCAAATGATGATGAATTTGGGAACTACTAGTATAAGTAACACTAGATGGGATATGCCTTCCACTCCCAGATAGGACAAGACTTCCATGGTCACCTGACACCTTCTCATCCCCACTCTCGTCTAATTTACTCGCACACCACCAAACTCCTTTAACAAACACACACATTTTCACATACATCGTCTTCTTGGGCACTGATGATATCTCTTTGATCATGATTCATGACTGTAGTAAGAAGATCGAAGGGAGGGAAATTAATTGATGTTGCCTTTATTCCTGTTTTTGCTTTACTCTCCCCCTTCCAGGAGCGAGGTTTCCAAAAGACCCCTCTCCCCCTAGCTACATGCCCATCTTTCTTTTCGGTTACAGCAATCTGATATTTCATTTTGGTCGTCCTTTTCTTCTTCTTTGAAAATTAACTAGTATAAATATCTTTTCCTCATTCAATTCAAGCAAACAAGTTTTGATCAATAAATAGCTGATATGGCTGTAGAAACTTCAGCTCCTCTACTGGTGGACTATATTAATGGCCTCCCAAAGTCGAACGAAAGCTTTCCAGATCACGAACATCACGGTTCCCGGCCAACCCTTCCAGAGGTTAGCCAATGTGAATCCATCTTGTATCGCTCTTTTTGGAATATATCTTGCCCTTACTCTCGCAACAAATCTCTCAGGTTGCTGAGGAGATTAAAAAGCTATACACCATAGCCTTTCCCATGATCATCACCGGCCTGCTTGTTTATGGTAAATCCATGATATCAGTGCTATTCATGGGAAGAATGGGGAAAGATGCACTGGCTGGGGGGTCTCTTTCAAGTGGCATAGCCAACATCACTGGCTACTCCATCATCTCAGGTTTAGCCATGGGCATGGAAGGCATCTCTTCTCAAGCCTGTGGGGCTAAGCAGTGGTCAGTCATGGGTCAAACCCTGCAACGCACAATCGTCATTCTTTTGTTCGCTTCAATTCCCATTTCCCTCTTGTGGCTCAACATCCAGCCAATACTAGTCTTTTGTGGCCAAGACTCAAATATATCTTCAGTTGCAGCTAACCATCTTGCATTCTGCATACCAGACCTTGTATTCCAATCCATCATATACCCTCTCAAAATCTTTCTGAGGACACAGAATGTAACGCTGCCCCTTATCCTTAGTGCTGTCTTTTCTCTGGCCTTGCATGCACCAGTAAATTATCTCCTCATTCATAAGCTCGGCCTAGGCATTCGAGGCGTTGCTGCGGCATCATCCATAACAGACTTCGCTACCCTTGCAACACTCGTTCTTTACATAATCTTTTCTGGGGTGTATAAAAGATCATGGCCAGGGTGGTCCCTCCAATGCTTCAATCAGTGGAAGCCGATTCTAAGCCTTGCACTCCCCAGCTGTGTATCTGTATGCTTAGAGTGGTGGTGGTACGAGTTGATGATTCTATTATCTGGTTTGCTCTCAAATGCGGCCGAAGTCGTGGCAACCATGGGGATTCTCTTGCAGGCAACTTCTCTTGTTTACATTTTTCCTTCATCTTTGGGCTTAGCGGTGTCTACTCGAGTGGGAAATGAGTTAGGAGCCAACCATCCTAGCAAAGCAAGAATTTCGTGCCTGGTAGCATTAGCATGTGCAGTGTTTACAAGCATAGCTGCAATGTCATTCGTCACAATATGCAGAAATGCTTGGGGACGAGCTTTTACACAGGACAAAGCCATTCTGTCTTTGACCGCCCTGTCCATGCCGGTGGTGGGCCTCTGTGAGCTCGGAAACTGCCCCCAGACCGCCGGTTGTGGAGTATTGAAGGGCTGCGCTAGGCCGGTGTTGGGTGCCACGATTAATCTGGGCTCCTTCTACGGTGTTGGGCTACCTCTCGCAATCATCACTGGATTTGGATTGGGAAAGGGCTTATTAGGCCTATGGTTGGGTCTACTGGTGGCCCAGGCCGTGTGTTCGGTCCTGATGGTTTTTGTTCTGAGGGGAACAGATTGGATGGATCAAGCAAATAGGGCGAGCGAGTTGATTGGAATTACAGGTGATCCTGATCGTGAATCTCGGGGTGAATACGTAATATGGAATGATCATGACCGTCAACTAAGTCAGGCAAAAGAGTCTACGGTGTGAATTTGAATCAGACCATGTTCGCATGGGAAAAAAAATTCAACCGGCGGATAGAGAAAGTAATAATGTGATGCATATATAAATTATGATGGGGTTGTGTTGTTAATATCCATATGCATCAATTTGGAAAATTTTGATGGGGGTTGTGTTGTTAATAAAGTGTATGTTTTGAGTGTTTGTATAAAATTTTGTTTTAATTTCTCTTTTCTTCTTCTTCCTCCTCTATTCACACAGCAGCAGTTATGGAGCTTTTGGCCACCACCATCAGCCATTGGCGGTTGGGCACTGATGTACCTGTTGACCAAAATTATACCCTTCACTCCATTTTTCTACGTAAATTTCATTTCCGATATAAGTTTTCACAGGAAATGAATAAAAAGTAGTCAAAACCAAAAGAACCACTGGTGTTATTAAAAATGTAAACAACATATAGAGAGAATAATAATCTAATGCATGCATATAATTACCAAATATAAATTCTGATAGTTTTTTAGGTGTTTGTATAAAATTTTACTGTAGGCATATTTTAGGTGTTTTTTAGGTTTTTGTATATTTGCAGATTTAGAAAAACTAAACAACTTTTTTTTTTCATTTTTCTCCTCCTTTTCCTCTCTTCTTCTTCCTCCTTTGCCCACAAGTAGCAACTATGGAGTTTCCGGCCACCGCTAGCTATCACCAATGTTGACCACAACCCCTCTGTTGACTAAAATTCATCAAAATTACACCTACACTCCATTTTTTTTTTTTATGTACCTTCCGTTTCCATTATTAATTTTCACAGAAAATCAAAAAAAGGGTGGTAAAAATCAAAAGAACAGGTAGTGCTATTCTTTCTTCTTCTTCTTTTTTTTTTTTTCCTTTTCTCATTTCTTTTTCTCCTCTCCCGTCTCTCTTCTCCCTTTTCCTCCCTCTTTCCCTCCCTCTCCCCCATTCTTGTGAATCTCGCCCACCTCTCCTACCTCGATTTGGTCTAGATTGAGGCAAAAGAGATGGGTGAGATTAACGGCCAGGGGGAGAGGGAGGGAGGAAAAAAGGAAAGAAGTAGGAAGGGAAAAAGAAGAGAGAGAAAGGAAAAAAAAAGAAGGGGGAAGGGGAAAAGGAGGAGAAGGGAGAAGAGAATGAGGGAGACAGGAAAAGAGGGAGAGGCGATGGCGGTGAGGTGGTGATAACGGCGACAGTGGTGTTGGCCTAAGGTGAAATGGTGGTGACAAAAGAAAAAGGTAGATGTTTATTTTTTGGGTGTTTTGAGATATGTATTTTTAAAATTTTTTGTGTATTTTTAGAAGTTACTGTAAACAAAAAATTTTTAAAAAACTTGTATTATAAAATCTAGGCAAAAAACTAGGGTCCTAAGGTTATGCTATTGCTTAAGTTCTCAAGGTCTCATGGTTTTAATATTTTAAGATCACAAACCGAGGAAATGGTTTTATTCAAGTTATTGCTTAAATTGGGACACCAAAGACATAAATGAACCAAAGTAACGATAGGATCGTACATCCTGCTTATTTTAGTCTCCACTTTGAACCTTTCTTTTTCTTTTTTATCATGATCTTCCGTTTCTTAATTACAAAGCTTACCCATGTTAATCGAAAAGAAAAAAAAAATAAAGAGATATTCCGAAGGCAACTTCCCACGCCAAAGTGATGGATAGTCTAATACCACTAGTTCGATATTGGTGGAAAGGCACCTACGCGTTATGGCGGAATAATGTAGCAAATTCTTGGCCCTAAGAGGGGCTGGGTGGTGGACAGCGGAATCAAACAAAAATGTGGCGTCCACTCAGGGATGGCAATGGGGGCGGGTGCCCGCGCGGGAGGCTCACGGGACGGGGGTTGGGGAAGGGGCGGGGGCGGGGGAAAAATTTCCCCCCGCTTAGGGGGGGGGGCGGGGGAGTATACCCCCGCCCCGCCACCCGTAAAAAAAAAATATAAATATATATATATAAATGACTATATATTATATGTAAGTTAATTAGTTATAAACTTATGATAATGATATTATTAGTTAGATGTATTATATAATGTATATTAGTTTATGTAATATAATTGATATTATCAATTATATGAATAATTATACATGTCTACTAATAGAATTTATTAAATAGTTATACTAAATTTACTAATACATTTATACTAAATTTCTAATTACACTTAATAGAATAACACTTTTTTCTAAAAAAAAAGCACAAACACAATGATGAATTAGTGATTGCATTTGTACAAAAAGTGAAAATGTGACTATTTTAGTTATATTTATTTCATCATATTGGATTGTATTCAAATAACTTCTATTTGATTATTTTTATGAGTTTCAATTGTAAAATTACAATGAATAATAATTTGGTGATGTGTTGATATTTTAGTACTTGATTATTTATTAAAATATAATTATAATAAAATTTTATTAACCCCGCGGGGGAAGCGGGGCAAGGCGGGGCGGGGGACGGGGGAGGGGTCCCCCGCCCCAACCCCGCCCCGTTGCCATCCCTACGTCCACTTGTTCGGACTCACATCCTCTCGTGCATGCTCTGAATTGTTCGGGATTGCGTTAATTTATTGAAAATTATTATTTTTAAATATTTTTTAAATATTTTTAAATATATTGTTTGAAAATATAATTTAACCAGTACTTATTGTATTATGATAATGTATAGTTTGAAAATTTTTAATCATTTTTATCCCTTTATTTAATTTATAATACATGATAAAATGATAAAATTTAATGTTTTATTTTTTAAATCACAAAAATTACTCTAAAAGCACCAAATTTAAACTTTTATTAAAAGTGTTTTTCACACCAAAAGCTCTACTCCTAATTTTATAAGATGGTATTCAAGAAACGCCTTACAAGTACTTTTAATACCTATAAGTGCTTTTTTTATCAAAAGCCTTAATCCAACTTCTAAGACGGAATTTTGTTCGTGGTCCACAACGCTCGATTCAAGAACAGGAATAAAAGCAATTTTATATGCCCAACTCATTGCAGGAAAGAATGTGCTTTTATTGCCTAATTAGTGTAACGATTTCAGAAAAAGGGGAACAAATCAAGTCCTCAGCATCTATCTGATCCCATTGGAGGTAGATTATGTATAATAGATATTAGCCCGCAATGCAATTGAATTTTGTAGTATCATTCAAAAACTTGAAGTACGAGAGCAAAATCAATTTAATCATTATAAAAAAAAAAAAAAAAAAAAAAAGAAACCCCATGTCGTCTTTGAGCTTTCTCAAGTTTCAACACAACGTCTTGAGTCGCTCTTCACCTAAGCAATCCCGAATTTCTACAACAAAAGATCACCAAATTAGGCAGAAGCCAAATGTAACGTCAAAAGTTTTCCATCCAAAGGCGGAGGAGTTACGAAGCTTTTTTAACAAGTTTGACGCAACTAAAGATGGGAAAATCTCCGAGGAAGAATACAAGTTAGCACTCAGGGTTACCGGAAGAAAGAACAAATATCATAGCAAAAGAGTCCGAGATCGGCAAGGTCGCTGATTCGGACGGAGATGGATGTATCGACTTTGAAGAGTTCACGAAAGTCCACTGGTCTAAGGGAGCTGGCGTGAAAGACAGGGCTAAAGGAGCTGGCGTGAAAGGCTTCAAGGTGCCTCTCGAGTATTTGATTTTGGACGGGAATGGGAAAATAAGCGCGGAGGAATTGTCGGAGGTGATGACGAGGCTTGGAGAAAAGTCGAGGATCCTGATGGTGATGGATTCATTAACATGGACGAGTTCATGATACGTACCAAGAACCTTTCTCCATCTTAATTACTATATATATATATAATTGGTTCCTTAATAACTAACCTGCAGTCATGTCTTTTTCTTCCTTCAAAACGGGAAAATGAGCGCGGAGGGATTGTCGGAGGTGACGAGAAGGCTTGGCGAAAAGTCGAGCCTGGAGCCGTCCAGGAAAATGATAAAGGGGGAGTGGATGCTTATCAAACGGGATCCTCTGTTCAATTTTTTGTGTCCAATTTTCTGTCCAACACAAAATTACGTTGTTCCATAGGATGGATTCATTAACATGGACGAGTTCATGATGTCGATGATGCGTACCATGAACCTTTCCCCATCTTAATGACTATAATTGGTTCCTTAATAATTGATCTGGACTCGCGTCTTTTTCTTCCTTCAACACCCCGCCACCGCCCCGGATTACAATTTTTTTTTTTTTTTGGGGTTTGGGGATGGGATTTCTCTGCACACTTTTTCTGGTACGCGGGGATTAGGGTGTCAATCGAACTTTTGACCCATGTTTCAATGAATCCAAATTCGGTTCACAAAGTATATGGATTTCAGGTTTCAAACCATGCTAAAAGGACTCGAGTTCAGCCCCCACTATTATGTGAGTTTTGGCCTCAAATCGGATTTGACCCAAACTATAATTAAATACATAATTATGTACAATATATACTTTATAATTATGAATTAATACAAATTTACATATAAATTATTTACATTTTATGTCATAATATGCACTAGTATTCAAGGCACATACTAATGTGTGTGCAACAAATAAAAAAATTGTGAAATATTTTGAGTATATTTATTGAAATCATTTTCAAGAAAATTGGTTTTCTATTTTTAAAAAAAATATGTAAAAAATTCATCAAAATAAAAGTTATAAAAATGAGTTATTTAGAAGTTTGTCATAACCATAATTGGTGGTTGTTAATTAAAATTAAGATTTACTAATAAGTTCAAAAATAGTATATGAAAAAATACATATTACTTGGTAAAAAAAATCGTATTGGTAGTAGTTAGTTATCAAAGATAGATAGATTTCATTTATACCGAAAAGTTCTCTCACCATCAAGGGTAGTTTAGGTACATGAAATGACAGATTTTTGTTTACCCCAAATCCCCTCGTCTCCATTTATATATAGTATAGATAATTATAAGTTATGGATATTATTATATATATTTTACATATATGCTTATACTCATATATGGATTGCGTTTTAATCAGACATGAGCCTAGTATGACCCAAACTCAGGTCATAATTAGTTTAAACCTAATATTTAGGCTAAAACTCTATTCGTCCCAATTAAAATTTAGACTCATTTATCTTTTATCGAGCCAAACAGGCTAAACTCGGGTTGGTTCGACCCCATTAACATTCTCAGTGGAAATGGGAATGCACTCATCTAGTTTATAAATGCGTAGGGGTCATTTATCAATGTATAACATTGGCCAGCTCTCCAGG